TACGTTGCGTTGCTGTTGGGTTATCATATTAGATCAAAAAAGGATAAAAAATTGCAAAAAAATCAGAAAAATCAGAAAAATATATAAAAAAAGAAAACAAAAATACTAGCTATCTTAACTTGAACATAGTTTCAAAAATATACAATCATTGTGATAGATTCTCTCTAGTGTTCTCTATCCTGCTCTAATCTTCAGTCTCGCAGATAAAACAAATCGCTAAAAAATCAAGAATTCTTCTGAAATAGTCTCACATTAATATCCAAAACCATTTTTGGAGACTCCATGTTTCTTTAAGTTTACCAATCCCTCTCTCCATCCTAAACCTAGTTAATCTGTACTATAGTCTTAATTTTGTTTAGCAGTATTGAGGGACTCTTTATATTTTCGACGTGACCAGTCACTACATTTATTATTAAATGCGCATTTGGATTCGCCAGAAAATGAGCACAATAGCTTAGTTGTTATGGTCCTATAGTGTAGCTTGGTTATCACTTTCGGTTTTGATTTCACTAATTGAGGTTAAAATTTCCGAACAACATCAGTTCGAATCTGGTTAGGACCTTTCAAGCGAAAGCTTACATTTGCTTATATTTTCAGGTCCTATAGTGTAGCTTGGTTATCACTTTCGGTTTTGATTCTAGTTTTCAAACTTCCGAACAACATCAGTTCGAATCTGGTTAGGACCTTTATTTTTAGTTTTTTTTATACCTCTCTGTCAAAGAAATGTAAGGGCAAGCATTTTCAATTTCAAACCCCTTTTATATACTTTTTGACGTGTTGGATCTGTAAGAAGTCCAGTTAAATTGACCAGGTCTCAGAATTATTCGGGTGCATTGTTTAAATCCTTAACAAACATGACATATTTATTGTACCACTTAAATTTTTCTTCTTACCCTTATGCCTATTGTTCAAGACCTTTCTCAGCTGTGAAGTCTTGTTTAGTATCTCTTACGGGGTTTGGATTATTCTGACTTCTGTCTCTTTTCCCTTCACAGTTGTTTTTAACTTAATTCTTGTGCACTCATTTAACGAAAAATTTCGTTGCAAAATTGTTGCAAAAAGAGAAAACACTACACAACGAGATGATCTTTCGATTTTTGAAGATAGATCTTATAAATAAACCACGAACGTTTTGCAAACAATGAATATACATCTTTGTTATATCAATACTGTTATTCTTAAAGACGGAAGTGAAATGCTTTATCTTCGTGAATATTGCGTCCAAGATTTCGATATTGCTGATAATTGTGCATCACATAAAAGAAAGATCCACCAATAGTTAAACATGGTGGAGACAGGGTCGGAGCAGAAAAAGTGCAAACTGGAAGTAAAGAGATTTGTGATTAAATTCAGGGTGCTTTGGTGGTGGCACTTTTATCTTGAATAGTAAAGAAAAAAAGAAGTGCAGCATTGGCACATCACAATACATTGGAAATAGAGCTACAAAGCACAGCTTTTATGGGGTAATAAAGGAAATCTCTGCTTGAAACCCCCATTGTTTTTAGAGGAGTACCTGATTGTAATTTTATGTATTTGGGCAGCATATACTAAAGCAGCTGCTTATACATTTTTATTCAAACATTTTTTTCAATTCCATTAAGCATATCGTGTCTTTGTTTTCTAAATATGACACATTAGGAGACAAGTGATTCCTTTACCTTCATCTGTTAATGATTACCATGTCCCATTCTAGCAGCTACTTTATCCACTCATATGGTAGCACATAACGATAAAGTTACAACCTCATCTCTTCACCAAAAAATCAAAAAAAAAAAATCAAAATTAAAATTAAAAATAATTCTGTTTCCTACATCCCACTGATTAAGCAACGATGATCAGAACAATAAAGCCTAAGAATGCTCGTTCAAAGAGAGCCTTAGCAAAGAAGGAGGCCAAGCTTGTTGAGAACACCAAATCTGCACTCTTTGTTCCCGGATCCACCGGTAGCAAACTCCTTCATGATGCCATGTGTGATTTAATGGCCTTGAAAAAACCATTTGCAAAGAAATTTTCCAAAAAGAACGAAATAAGACCATTTGAAGATGCTACAGAGTTGGAGTTTTTTGCCGAAAAAAATGATGCTTCATTGATGGTCTTTTCGTCCCATAATAAGAAAAGACCAAATACATTAGTGTTTACCAGATTCTTTAACCACAAAGTTTATGATATGATTGAATTATCGATACAAAACAGTCCCAAGTTGTTGCAAGATTTCAAAAAGCTTACATTCACAATTGGGTTGAAACCGATGTTTGTGTTTAATGGACCGGCCTTTGATAACCATCCAGTTTATCAACAGATTAAATCAATCTTTATGGATTTCTATCGTGGTGAAGAAACCGATTTGCAAGATGTGGCAGGGCTACAATCTATAATATCACTTTCAGTTGGAGAGATAGAAGATTCAAATAATGAAAAGGATTTACCCAATGTCCATTTCAGAGTATATAGATTAAAGACGTTCAAGTCGGGACAAAAATTACCTCGCGTTGAATTAGACGAAATTGGACCGAGATTTGATTTCAAAATTGGCAGAAGAAGAACACCAGCACCCGAAGTTGAAAAGGAGGCGCTCAGGAAGCCTAAACAATTGGAGGCAAAGACAAAAAAGAATGTTAGCACAGACTTTATGGGTGATAAAGTTGCTCAAATACATGTTGGTAAACAGGACTTGAGTAAACTTCAAACAAGAAAGATGAAGGGTTTGAAAGAAAAGTATGATATTAGCGAAAGTGAAGAAGAAGAAGAAGATGACGTTTATGTTTCTGATGAGGAATACCTCGCTGACGAGGTAGAAGAACCACAAGCAAAGAAGCAAAAAGTGTAGGGATCCAGTCTGTATAGAGATGTAATTGAAGTTCAATTAGTGTAAAGCTGTTGTTTAGTAGAACCATCCTTTTTTGGTGGAAGAGAAGATGTTCGCGACTTTATTGAAAGAGTAAAAAGAAGAAGCTTAAAAAAAAAACAAAAAAATTATAAACCAAACCAAACCAAACCAAAGCAGCAACAGGGTTACCCTAAATCTCCAAGACTAATATGTCATCGATATTCAAAGCACGCACGGGATACACCAGTGGGCCGGTCGTGAAGTCCAATTACCCCAGTGCTGAAGAGCTCACCAAGAACAAACACTACTGTGTGTCACGATTGCCAGGATTACCCAATGTTTTCAAGACCACATCCTTTTCCAATGCATATTCAGATGCTGAATCCAATTACGCAGTCGTTATAAGTGATGACTCAATCTACGTGTGGTGCTACAAATCAGTTGATGCATCTCCATTTTCCATCCACTTCCCCATTGACAAATCATTGTTTAAATTGCCAGTGGCTATTTTAACCCGCCCATCTAGTGGGACAGACCAAGATCCAGGTATTGTAATGGTAGATTCACTTACTGGGCTCATTAAGTTTTATGAAAGCGTTCAACACGCGCCAACTTTGGGATTGATTAACGACAAATCATTGGAGTTGCAAATAGATCTTCAACCAAATGAGTATATAACATTAGTTGAAAATGTCGAACCTGCCGGCATAGCTGTAGCAACTTCACTACAGAGATGTATCCTCATCTCCCTCAGGGACTACAAGAGCAAGCCTCATTTGTCCACGATAGAATTGACCAACCCACATAATGGATTCCTTTCGAAAATTTTCAGACATAATGGTGGTGATGTTGTCGCGATCCGGTCAGCCAGCGTGGGAAATAATGACACATCACAGGTTATTCTTATCTTGGATTCAGTTGGCACGTTGTACTCAGTCACTTACTATTTGTTATCGTCAACGACAGCCCCATATGTTGACAAGTCCTCATCATTTAAACAAACGTTGTCTATCGATCCAGATACCTATCCTGGAAGCGGAACTTCTGCAAAATTCTTGGACATTTGGCCAATGAAAGATGATAAGTACTTTCTTGCTTTGGTGCGATCGAGTGGTGCTTTATTGCTAGCAACGTTCCGCGCCGACAAGTCTGGTGCGCTATACTACGGCTCCCATCAATTGAAAGCCAGTGGCGACATAACCACACCAAGACTATTTTTACCTCGGCCAGGAAAAACTGCGTTTGTCATTATCGGCAACTCCGTTATCATCACCGATTTGGATACATCCTACATAGAACCGAAGAACACCTTTACATATACCAAACCTCGCTGGGAAGATGTCATTAGATTCAATCCTGCAACAAATGTCATTGGGTATGGATATGAAAACCAAAGTGTGGTTTCAAACCCTTCCATAATCGTGATTACAGAAAACTACGGGATTTTGCGCGTGGAAAAGTTTCCCGCAACTTCTCAAAAGGAGATCAATTATGATCCTGCGTTGCTTGTAATGTCACACATTGAACAAGCAATATTTTTTTCCGATTCCAAAGAGATTGATTTTGATTTGGTACAAAACGTTGATAAAGCAACGGTGCATAATGCCGTTATATCCATTATTGAAGAAGTTATGACTTCGACATCGCCGTATTTGCCTGACGCACTTCCGGTGACAACAGACTTGACTCAACTCAAAGTAAAGATCTTGACTGAATTAATTGCTTATTGCCAAAGGAATTTCCCCAACGACACACCTATGATTGCTGAAGCAGTCAAAAACTTGGAAAAGACAAATTGTGCTTTGAACTTGTGGAGATATATTGATGCAAACAAATCATACATGGACGAGTTTAAAAAAATCAAACCTGACCCAAGACAATTTTTTATTTCAGAGATTGCTAGTATAGTTGAGGTGTTGACTTTGTATCTCAGAAAACTCGAGCAAACCGCTCTTTCGACTACTTCGTTGGTGGTAACTACCATTTATGATGGTGTATATTTGAACAGCGTGAGGTATAGTGATAAAATTGGCAAGTCGTGGTTATTTGATACCGATTTAATCAGGAATATTGAGTCACAATTTACTCAAGCCTTTGTCACCGGCGATGACAATGATAAGTACGATGCATCTTGCATTGTTCAAATATTGTATTATTTCTTTACCAATGCTATCAAGTTCACAAAGGAGCACAAGATTGACAGTCAATATGAAGAGTATACCAATTTATACAATGAAAAGAAGAATGGTTGGACCACTGCGTTGTTAAAATTGGGATTGGTTAAAGAAGCAATGGTGATTTCTGAAAAGTACTATGATTTTGCGTCACTCGCGAGGATATTGGCCACGGAAAGAGAGACAAAGCCAATTGAAGAATTAAACTATGGATTTTACTTTGAAGAATTTGGGTATCCTTTTGCTGCCAGCGTTTATGAGTATTACATCAAAAGCGGTGACATTCAAAGATTGTTACTAGAATTCACCAATTACAAGCCTTTCCTCTTGCAGTTTTTCAAAGAAAATCCTAAATTGACATCCAATGTATCATGGATACGATACTTGATCGATGAAGACTTTACCCAGGCATCAAAAGCTTTGGGATTAGCGGAATCATACAACACTGAGCTGGTTGATAATCAACTAACACAACTTTCCTTGGGTAAGTTGTCAGCAATTGCTGCTGGAACAAGCACAGTTAAGAAGTTTGATGATGAATTGTTGAAAGTTCGTTATCAGATTATGATTCGAGATGCAGTAGCGGGGCATGGAAGAATTGCTGCTATTAAACAGACAAATTTCGTTAATCAATTTATCAACACAAACATTAACAAGTCCGATGCTAAAAACTTAGCAGCTAATGCGTTTGATGCGTTATCAGTCAACTATCGGTTATCCGAGCTGTTATTAATTGAGTTGTTGACGATCATTGAACCCAAGTTTTTGAGCAATGATGGGTTTTTGTATGCTTTGAAAGTAGCACAAACATATTCCAATGAAGAGGTTGTTAACGCATATACCAATATTATATTATTACGTCTATTAACATTGGCTACTAAAGCTGACCATGCAACTGATGGCACTGACGAAGAGATAAAGCATGAGGTTGAATCAAGTATATTGTTCAAGACACTTTTGAAACAGCCACATGCCATTACTCAATTGAACCAGCTTTTGAAAAATCCCGATTTCAACGGCAACACGTATCAACCCTTGCCTAAATTCAACCAGAAGTTGGTTGATGAGTTGAAAAAGCGTCTTGGCAATAAATCTTTCAAAACATGGGTGCACTTGGTTGAAGAACAAGCCAAAATTATTTTGATTTAGATTAGTTATGAAGAATCGATTCAATTTTAATAGAATGTATTAGAAAGTCCCTTTCACTTCCCCTCTCCCTCTTCCTCATCGTTGAAGTCGCTCTCCAGGTCATTTGCGTCGTCATTTTGTAAGTTTATCCTAATTAAAGGTTCGGGATACACGTCTTGTTCGGCAACCCCATTCAGGGGATGATTTGTCAGTTTCAATAAACTTAGCGATGCCAACGATATGGATTGGATAATTCGTTGCCAATTAGAAAGAATCAACGCGACACTACTGGTTCCATCTTTCATTGTTTCTAAACGGTCACCAATTGATTCTAGTTCAGTAGCTAGTTCTTCAGTTAAAGTTTTGAATTCTCGTAGAAGTTCCAAGTTTGCTCTCTTTTCGGCTATCTTTTGATATATTGCTGTGTTCTGTCTTGCCATTATAGATAAAAAGGGACTAAATTTTTAGGAGAGAGAATGTTGTGTCTTGTTTTGTTTGATATGATGATATCTTTGAATCGCAGTGTGGTTTTAAAGCTGGATCTGAGATATTGAGATTTTTTTATTTTCTTTTATTTGTTTACATTTTGAAACCCATAACACAATTCCATTTTGCTTTTTTTTTTGCTTACACGTAGAGTCACCAGCAGCATTGCAATGGCAAGGAAAGCAGACCTTGGAGAACCAAGAGGCGATTTATCGCGAAGAACAACCATACATAATCCCACATCTCATACTTTGCGCCAACGTAGCCCTAGCGAATTTCACAATGAACCTAGTACAAGAACCCCATCACCATCACCACAATTACAGCAATACATAAACCAAAACAAAGTCCTAGCAAGACGTAATGGGATCTTGTCATCACGAGTCACAGAACTAGAGGACAAGGTCACATCATTGAATGATGAAATTACCAGACTTCGGAAGAATGATACTCTCAAACTGGCACTTGAACTAGTGGAGAAGAATTTGGTGAACAGTTTTAATGTTAGTATGAAACAATTGCAACGAATACGCGTCGACAATGGGATGCAGCATAGTACATGTGGTCCAGTATCTGCTTCTACGAGCTATAGGCATGATGTGGCAAAGAAAACTGAAGAAGTAAAGCCACTGATGACAAGGGAAGAGCGTACGAAGATACCTGTTTCAAAAACTAATTCCATAATGACTCCACCCACTCCCACTATCAATCACGAAGCTATAGTGAAGGAGCAACCTGGAATACCACAGTTTTTCAAGAAAGCCGATCAATTTGAGTCTACTAGCAAGTTTCTGACAATTTTGGATGAACTGGATTCAGAAGATATGTTTGATATAAGACAGGTCGGCGTGTTTGCTAAAGAACCAACTGTTGTTATTGATGAGGATAGTGATGAGGATGATAAATCGGACATTGAGAAGCCGTGTGGTCGCGTCGAAGATAATGTGCCTGAAGATCAAAAAGACAAGAATGTTGATGATGAAGATGACTTTTTAGCAGAGTTTGGCCGTCATGAGTCATCCTTTGTAGGAAAGGTGAAAGAGTCAAAGGAAATGGATACACAAAAGCTGGGGGCAGAGTTGAGAGAAACAAAGGAGAAACGATTATCGAGCATGCCTGATATGCTGGATTACGAAGCCCTTTTAGAAAGCTTGAAACTTAAAGGTGATTCTGGTCAGTCAGAAAAAGGAGAACATGGAGTAGAGGCAGTGGGTGAGACAGTTGCCGAGGTAAAGGCAGGTGCGCCAAAGACTAACACTCGTACTTCAAGACGAGGTAAGACGAATGTTGACAATGATAAGATTCATGACGACATGCCGGGTAATGAAACCGCCGCCACCACTGAATCGAGAGCAGTAATTGATGCTGAAAAGAGTGTTGAATCGGAACCACAAGAAGCACCTATAGAAATCACGGGTTTGCATAGTGAAGAGGGTTCAAACTCAAAAAGATCGACAAGGTCAGGAATTAGTGCTTCATCACACAAGTCATCACTAGCACCAACTGCAAAACAAAGGAGACTGAAGAGGTTTCAAATCAAGCAAGACTCCGTAGCTGATAATGATACTTTAGGAGAGAAATCAAGAAATGATGAAACTACTCCTGCTATTGCATCAAAAGCTGACATGGCGGAAGATGCTCATCTCACACCAGAACATGAAATAATTGATTTGGACCAATCGCCTCAGAAAAAAACTGATAATAAGCGTCTGGATTCAAGAAAAACTACAACTAACATTAATAGTAGAGAGAAAAGAAAACCACTTTCAAACTTGACTAATTCCATCAATAAACCAACTAAAAAACGGAAACAAACAACTCGAAATGAAAACTGGGATCTAGATATATTCGACCTTAGAAATGCTTGATGGTGAAAGATGGATCTAAATTACAACTATTAATTAAGAACTCTACGTATCGTTGTATTTAATTTCAGGCTAAATATTAATTTTGTACGTGATGGATGATACCTCCTCTCCCCCCCAAAAAAATAAAGAGGACGATTCACGTTATGACTAGGATCTAACTCTTTGCCTCTCTTCTAAACACTCATTTTCATTTTAATTGAAGGATAAGGTTCATATCCAACAATTTCAAAATCTTCAAATTTAAAATCATCAATATTTTTAATCTCATCTCTTCTCTCCTCTCTTATAACTAACTTTGGAAATTGTTTAGGACTTCTGGCCATTTGTTCCTTTAATGCATCAATGTGATCTAAGTATACATGAGCATCACCTAAAGTATGAATAAATTCTCCACAATCCATATCTACTACATGAGCAATCATTTTAGTGAGCAATGCATACGATGCAATATTGAAGGGGACACCTAAGCCCATATCACACGATCTTTGATATAATAAACACGATAATTTTGGTCTGGCAGTGGCTGTACTTGTACTTGTAGCTGTTGTTGATTCTGATTCCAGGGTTGATTGCTGATGATTACTAGGAAAGCTGACATAAAATTGACAAAAGACATGGCATGGAGGTAATGCCATTAGTGGGAAATCAGGCGGGTTCCAAGCAGACATGATAATTCTTCGATCATAAGGGTTAGTTTTCAATTTTTTGATTACATCTTGTAATTGGTCAAATCCTTGACCAGTGTAATCAGTGTCACAATCCTGATATTTAGCTCCAAAATGTCTCCATTGGAACCCATAAACCGGCCCCAAGTCTCCTTCACGACGATGCGTTAATCCCAAATTATCTAAAAACTCTCGCAGGCCATTCCCTTCCCATATTTTGACCCCCTTGTCACTCAAAATCTTGGCATCAGTGGACCCAGCAATGAACCACAAGAGTTCATGGATTATACCCTTGGAAAATACACGTTTGGTGGTGAGCAAGGGAAATGTATCGTTGGATAAATCAAATCGTAATTGGGGTGGAGCAAAGAGGGATTTGGTACCAGTACCTGTTCTATCGGGTCTATGTTCTCCTTCGTCAATGGTTCTCTGACAGAGATCTAAATAGGCTTGTTCTGATTTGTTGATGGAGACTGTCATTGGAAACAAGTGTATTTTATGTAGGAAGTTTGATCTGAAGAGTAGGAGGAGTTTGTGAGGGTGTTGCTGTTGTCTATGTTTAGGCTTTTTGTTTATTTTCTTCTTTTAATCGCGTCTTTGCAAGAATCAAATTTAATTTTAATTTTTAATTGTTTTCTTTTATTTGACGCGACTTAAAAAAGTTAAGAGAGGTAAGGTAAGAGAAGAGTTAAGACAACAATAATCTATCGCAATTAGCTCCCTATTTGGACTATACAACCTCATTTTCCAGGCCTACTTTAGTTTAAAATTGTTGTTTGATTTCAATACTATACACATGCAGATCTTTTTTCCCCTTCCCACTAAATGGTTGTGATTGTATTCTACTCTGTACTCCTTTGGTAGTAAGACAGTGTACATCATTCTACTACTAGCTCTTCAATATTATTTACTTACAGGTGATGATGATGATGATAGATGACGTATCGGTTTAACTGTGGTCAAAGTTGCTTTTCTTTCTGGCCGGTTGTCAACAAAAACTATTTTTTTTGTTACAGTCCATTTCCTGCCCCAATTTGGTCTTTGTAACACAAAATCAGGAGCAACCACTACTTATATTGCTATAGTGACGCCATGCGTATTTTTTTGACTTTACTTTGTTTTAATACAGTACAGAGAATTCATTACCATTGGTGTTTTTTTTCGGTTTCAAGGGGGGTAGGAGAAGGAAATAAGGGTCATTCATTGTGAAGTGAAACCAATTTTAAAACGCCTCTATGTTTTTGTTCCTTTTCCTCGAGGTGTAAACCAAAACAGCAACAGCAAAAGCAGCAACAGCAACAACCACCACCACAACAAAAACTATAAATAGAGACCAAATTTGCCTTCTAGTTTCTCCACAATTGGATCTATCTCTTCTTTTCTCATCAGTTTTCTAGAATCTCACATTCATATAAACTAAAATAAGCAAATCAATTAAACAATGTCAGACTTAGGTAGAAAAGATATCGGAGACAAAATCGAAAGCAAGGTTAAGCCAGACTCCCAAAAAACCCTTTTTGAACAAGCCAAGGATAAGATTACAAATGCTGCTGATGATGTTGCTGGAAAGGGAACCTCAGAAAATGACAAGTCAATTCCTCAAAAGGCTTCTGATGCTGTTTTTGGCAGCAAATAAAATATTACTATATATACTTTGATGGGCTAAAGCAATAATAATAATAATAATAATAATAAAACAAAAAAGGAAAGAAGAAGTATTTTTAAATTGTCGAAAACTTGTAGAATTTCTCTATCTTGTGTACCACCGTCTATTCGGTCACTTAGTTTTCACTTTACATCTTTACTACTTTTGCAACCTTTCTAGACCTCTCACTAATTTCTATTTCAAAGAGAGCCCCTTCTGTTTGCAATACAAACAAAGTCAAACATCAGAATAATATATTAGTATAAATTAGAAAAGAAACTTAGATTAGTTTGGCTAACCAAGTGGTAAAACTATCAATCATCTCCTTAGTAACTTCATGGCCAACTCCATCCTGAACAAACACCTCACTTTTATCATTGGTATTCAAATATGTATCACACCAAACCAAACTCAATCTGGGTGGTACTAGTGTATCCTCTTTACCAAAACTAGCAAACATGGCAATTTTCCCCATTGGGAAATTCTCAAAAATATCTTCATCCTGTTTGGATAAAAGCTTGTGGAAAGTTTCAGGATATTGCGTATCTTGTTGTTTTGCAGTTAATCCTAATTCAGCGTAGTTATAAAAGAACCATTTTTTATCGTAATTATCGCCATCCACTGGATTTTGTTTTAATCTGTTAACCAATAAGCTTGATAAATCGATTGATCCAACAACTGGATTAATGGCCGTGACCAAGTCGGGATACTCATTAGCAAAACGGAAAACAGTATGCCCACCCAAAGAATATCCCGATAAGATGTTATTATATTGGATATTGTAATGTTGATGCGTTTGTTTGAAGCGATTGCTTAATAATGCGTCCAAATTCAAGTAACTAGGCAAAAAGTCAATAATCAACTTAATATCAGCAACATTGCCCATAATTGAACTCACCATATCAACTGCATGTGTATCGTTTTTCCTATCTGGAAGTTCATTCCATCCATAATTATTTAAAGAATCAACTTCACGTTCACCGTGATTTCTCAAATCAAAAGTAACGCAAATCAAGGGTGGCGTTGCAGTAGATGATGAAGTAGTTGTTTGCTTCTTGGCGTAGTATTGATGTAATACATTATAAGCAATTGATTCAGTGAACTTATAGTTGCCAAGGCGTGGATGTATTAAGTAAACAACGTTGACGGGAATTTCATCAATGTTTGTGGTGGCATTGTTGAAGGATTTCACATAAGCTGACAAGGAGTCGGAGTTGTAAACATAAGTTCTAATTCCTCCTATATTGTAAATTGTTTTTGAGAATTCGGTTGGGTCATGATCAAATGTCTTCATTTTGGGATGGATATGATGAAACTGGAGTAACAACACGTTCGATAAAAATTAATATCTAGGCAAAAATCTTTTGGTAAACTTTTGACAGATATTATTTTTTTCTTTACATACAAACATACATACATACATACACACACACAAATATAGAAAGGACCAAAAGAATAACTGAGACAACACCCACCAATGGGGCATAACGACCATAATAATTTGAGTAAAAACAGTTCTACAATATCACTTCCAATTCAATTGATACTTTTATATATATTATTATTAAACTAAGTAGTTAGACTAATACTTGGTATAATAGCTAATAGCAGCAAAATCTAGTTGCTTCCAAAGGCAGCATCAGAAGCCTTTTGGGTAGCGGACTTGTCATTTTCTGAGGTTCCCTTACCAGCCAAGTTGTCAACAGCATCAGTAACCTTGTCTTTGGCTTGTTCAAAAGTGGACTTTTGGGAGTCTGGCTTAACCTTGCTTTCGATTTTGTCTCCGATATCTTTTCTACCTAAGTCTGACATTGTTTAATTGATTTGCTTATTTTAGTTTATATGAATGTGAGATTCTAAAAAACTGATGAGAAAAGAAGAGATAGATCCAATTGTGGAGAAACTAGAGGGCAAATTGATCTCTATTTATACACATTTTGTCTATGTGGCTTCCTCGTATATAATTTGCCTCGAGGAAGAGAAGTAGGAGGAGGAGCAGTAGCAATTTTAACGAAAAGAAAACAAACTGAGGCTCACTCCATATACAATTTTATTATTATTATTATGGTTGAGGTTTTTGTGTAAAGATGGTAATAAAAAGTAATACTATTACATTCCATATTTAATATTTGCATTATCACATGCCAAAAATAAGTTTCAATTAGCAATGAATGACCTTTGTCTCATCTTACTACTATTCTCCTGTCCTTCCTTGTATACAACATAAAAGAGTTAGTAGGAGTTAAATGTGTGTGTATGTGTGTGTGCGTGTGTAATTTAAGACACGTAACATTTTAATGTATGAGAGGGAAGGATGAAAGTATATATTGCTATCGATTTTGTGTAACAAAATATCATTTTTCCATTTTCCTGTTTTGGGGCTTTTTATTTTCTTGTTATTACTATTAAAAGTTAATATTAAAGTTGCTACCAACCTATATTACGTACATGCCACACATGCCAAAGTTACAACTGGCTGTTGAAAGAGCAATCAAATAAATTAACCGAACGAATCAAAAAAATAAAAAAAAAATGACAGTCAAAGAATACGTCATTCATTCAGATTTAGATTTACAAAAGAATCTTTCACAAGAACACGTATGATTTGATTGAACAACAAAATACATTGGCTTTTTTCTTACCCAATAACTGAAATAGATTCATAACCAAAAAACATTTAAGACAATATTACAATACGAAAAACATTGTTGAAAAAGTAAGTTGTTGGGTTTACAGTCCAATTTGAACAAATTACGAGATTGTTTTTCATGGTCTGATTTACCACACTCTACTTTTACAACAAAAAACTTACAATTTGTCTAGTCTGTCCTCGGCCATCTGCGGTTCTAGATTCATCAATTGTTCCAAAAGGGAGAGAGAGAGAGAGAGACAAAACCAGACAAAGAGGTCACACCACTCCTTTTGTTTCACAATTAATTGTGTAATAAATCCTGTGGAACTTACCCAATAGGTTAGGATTCCAAGGTTGGCCTCTCTCTTTCTCTTTTGCTATATGTTTTGCTTGCTCTCCTCCAAATGCCACAAAAACTCGCCAAAACACAAAAGTCAAAAGTCAATAAGATCTATTTGCCACAACTTTGCCACTTAGATCTGAAGACTTTCTCTATTGGACCTTTCTCTCAAGCATAACCAACCGAGACATCGCAGTTGATTGCAACTACGATTATGTACGTCTCAAGTATACAAAAACTAAAACATCAACCTTAGAGGGGCAATTCGATGCCCAATCTGGGTCCAGAATTAGAAATAGATAGTACGAGGCTTTGGTTTAGCCTTTCTCTACCGTTCAAGTAAATAAACGAACACACTTTACAGTACTGACACTTCTACCAGAATAGATGGGATTACAAAACGCCATCATTTTGAATGACGTCAGAGATAATGACATCAAACCTCATTGAAAAGATACATTTATTCATATTTGCAACCACGAAAAGTACTTGAACCATCGGGGTTCAACAAGTACACAATTGGCCTTAGCAATCAACAAGGGCTTCTCCTTATCAGTAACCGTTTCCAAGTATCCCTCAATAACCACTTTCCTTCCCTTTGCCTCTTTAACCTTTGAATGCAATACAACTGTACTTTGCGGTGGTGCTTGGTTCTCAAAATCAATCAGTAAACTAGCAGTGACTCCTCTTTTCGAAGGTAATTTACTAAATCCAGCTGAACATAATCCTTCATCTAAAATGGTTGATATAATTCCGTTATGTATTTGTCCATCCTGACTAATCAACTTATCTCCCAAATGATAGAAACTAGTCAATTCACCCGTAGTATCATTAACAAATACAAGAGGATCAATTTCCATCAAATCTGGGCCAAATAGAATCCCCGTGTTTATGTAGTTGTTGCGGTGTTGTTCGGGGAAAGATTTACTTGAAGTATAATGTCTGATATTGGGATTGGAAACTAGCCTCTTGTATTCATCAGTGGCCTCAATTTGTTGAATAACCGAATCATTGATGTGATTTAACTTGCGATCAGTTGAAAATTGACCTTTTCTCCAATCTTTGGGGAATGCAACTGCACCTACTGCAAATGCTACTAACGGAATTGTCTTCCTCACTGTACCTCTGAACATATTTGGAAAAAAAAAGATAGGGATGTATTGGTTTGTGCTCCCCTGATAGGGTGGGTTTTGGAAAGGCTGGTGTTGTTGGTCAAGGGAATCCAATCCTGCAATTCACCGTCAAAACTAAAAAAAAGAAAAAAAAAGATAAAAGTTAACAATTGGGCCGCATCAATTACTTGTTCGGGAATAACCACCACATACACAACCGTACAATCCTATTGAACATCATAGAAAGGTAAATAAGCACTAATACTCCTTCGCATATTGACTCCTTTACCAAGGCTCTGCATTAGTCAACATTGTTATTACGTATACTTTATAAACTGTAGAAACATACAATCTTCAAACAAGGCAAGCACGTACGGAGTTCCTGTCTATTGTTTTGTGTAAGATAACATGTGCATTTTGGTGGGGGTTCAAAAACTCGATTACTTTTATCAACAGTAGTACTTATATAGTGGTCAAATATGATCAAATTGATAGACGATCCAACTTGGGTACTATTTTCTTTCACCAAAATACCTTATTCCATTCATTTACAGAGTCGCTATCATCAAAATTAATAATGTCTACCCCAATTACATCTACACAAGTCGTTCTCAAACAATCACCATCAAGTTTCATCAACCCAAACTTTGGTGAATCTGATTCCACTTTTGAAATCAAACAAAAGCCAA